TATATTATCATATCAAAACCATCAGGGCCTCTACCTACAATCATTAAATGATATCCTCTCCATGTCCCCACCCCCAAAACAATGGTCACCTCTGTTTGTTTGTTGTAGACAAGTTCATTCTCAGATAGGTACCCTAGGGGATGGTTCATCGGGGTGCAAGTGGTTTGAATTCTTGTTTTGAATTCTTGTTTTTTGTGTAACGCCGGAGCCATGCTAAATGTAAACTAATATGCCATGCTTTTATTTGCACATTTATTTAGACGAGTATTCTAAGACGGTATTGTAGTATACAAATTTCAAATCAAATTTCTGATGGAAGAGAGAAGCCCTGCTAACGCTTTTGATTTGCAGGATGGCATTGTAGCTGACGATTTTCAACTTTGAATATCATAACTGTTGTGTCGGATACTCAAAAGATATACAAATTTATGATGAAGAGACGCACCTGGTCCATCTAATTATCTCTCTGCCGCCGCAAACTCGTATCATATCAATCATATTATCACATTATATCATATCAAAACCATCAGGGCCTCTACCTGCAATCATTAAATGATACTCTCTCCATGTCCCACCTCCAAAACAATGGTCACCTCTGTTTGTTTGTTGTAAACAAGTTCATTCTCAGAAAGGTACCCTAGGGGATGGTTCATCGGGGGGGGGGGGGGGGGGGGGGGGGGGGGGGGGAACATAAAATGAAAGTTATAAATTTGAATTATACTTTTGAGCGTGCGGTTAAGGAATAAACTACTCGACGGAATGAATCCAATAGGGAAAACTGTCCTTAAATGCAAGTGTTTTGAATTCTTGTTTTGAATTCTTGTTTTGAATTCTTTTTTTTCTGTAACTAAACGCCTGATAATTTCTTGAAGTTGGATGATCAAAATAATGAAATATAATATAATACGTAGGGGTTGTTCTCATATTACGTAATCAGCCGAGGGGAGGGAGGTTTCCAAATGATTACACTATAGTGTAGTTTTGACAAAATATCTATGTGTATTGTGTAAAACTGATTACAGAGGGGGAGGGGGGCTAAAAATTGTCCAAAAAGTGATTAAGTAATATTATGTGAACGAACCCATAGTAAATATTCATAGTTTTTTTTCTACCCACGTAGTAAATATTGAGAGGGAAGATACCTGTCGTGTCTGTACGTCTTCGCAATCCCGTGATATAATATTATTACCCATTATTAGTAGCGAGCATTTGATATCATTTATTAAGAGTATATTACTTATGAGAATTAAGAATTATAGATTTCATTTAGATATATAAGTCATAAATCCGGATCCCGACGGCACTATCGTTGGCCTTGACTAAACCTGTCTCACAAAATCCATGAACATCGTAATTAAAATATTATGTGAGCTTGTCTCCCCCACCGGATGACATTTTACTTAATACATATAGACACCGTACTGGGGGTGGGGGGGGGCAACCATATTAAAGGGTTTTTTCGATTTTGACCCGAGGATATATAATTTAATATGGTTGCCCCCCCCCCCCCCCTCCCCCCCTCCCGTACTACTCGAAATTAAAAGTTATAAACGGCTACTGGAGGGGGAAAATGACACATTAGTGAACAGACTGAGACAATATATTTTAATAAATTAATATCAAAGGTTCTAGAATTCTCTGGCCCGTCTGGGTCTCTATAGCACTCAAGATGTCAGGGGAAGAAATACGAATGTGCATGTAACACCTTTAAGTAAAGATTAAATTTTCTGAGGTGGCTTAAAATTGTGGTTATAAAAGATAAAAATCTCACAGCATTGTGGGAATGATTGTTTATTTTGCAGCAGCCTCATTGGACACAATGTCAGAGTGTGTGTCTATACTTCTCTGATAGTGTATAGGAATGTTATTACAATTGTAAGAACATTTTTCTTTGTGAGCAAGGATAGAGAAATTCCGGCGTAGTTTATGTTTTGGTCGAAACTGAAATTTCATAATCTTTGCTCTTTGCAGTAATCAAATCAGGTTTTTTTTCATTTGTTTATTAATCTTCGGCTGAGTCGACCGAGGAGATCGCATAGATCCAATGGACTCTTAGCTAGTCCCTAGACTAGGTGACACTGGGATTCAAACCCTGAAACCTCTGCGCAGAAGGCGGATGCTCTAACCACTAGGCCACCTCTTTCAGTTACACTGGATGGTCGTGACCTGGACTAGGTTTAAATTGAAGGGAGTGATTATCTTGATCAACTTGCTTCTCCCACCGTAGACGAACATGTGGCACAAATTGGATTAGTTTCTTCATTTTCCCTAATTTTTGATTACTTTACCCTGGACCGTGTACGTGACCTTGGTTGGGTTTATAGCTGCCACGCAAGGCTTTCTATAGAATAGTATTAGGCAATGGTAGGACACCGGGCAGAAGATTTCACAAAAACTGCAACCTGTCCGACGTAGCCACTTTGCTAATTGCGAGCTCCGGATTACTTGTAATCCGGGTTATGTGACTGTATAATGGTCAGTTGGACCTCTATAAAATACATATATATACTGCTTTAATACAGATCACTTCAAAACCTATCCATCCTAATAATATTGGCCTAACTTGTTCAGTTTTTCGTTTAAGAAAGTTCTGGATAACTTTAATATTTTTATGATGAAATAAACTTTGATATGATTTTCCCCCTGAAATATTATTGATACACCTGGATGAAGGATATGGGACAAATTTTATTATTTATTTAACTTATAGTTTCCGATGATTACTACTATCTAAAAGTATCATACAGTAAATATTTTAATTTGATCAAAATCGTCTTGCCAACTTGTACTTTTAGAGCTGCCGAAACAATTTAGCAAAAATGTACGTTATTTAACACGATCCCTGGTATTTAACAAGCCGCCGCTTCTTGACGTCTTCATTACTTACCCCGACACAGTAGTATTACTTCAGGAAGTTGCACCGTATTTTAAATTCATCAAACGTTCATATAAAAATAAACATTATCTAATTCTTTGCTACTTTCCAAGAAAGTCAAGGCATATAATGGGAAACTCGGGAGAAGTCGACATAACAAACGCAGTGACAGTAACCACCAGCGTAATGACTAGCAGCAGTGGCCTGGCAAGCGCCCAAGCTGACACCTACGCCTACCTGCTGGAACCCTATTTCTGGATCAGTGTACCATGTGTACTGCTCAGCATCATGACTATAGTACTCAGCAGCTTCGTTATTGACCACTATCGCAAGAGCCAACTAACAGTGGTTCCTCTGATCTATACTATCATATCAACAGTTGACATCTTGACGGCAGTTGGGGTGATATACCAGTCGGTAGTCACGGCGCTGTTTCATAAACGTATCATTAAAGACTGGAATGATGTGGACAGGTACCATGCTGTTATCAGCTACACACTCATTGCTGTAAGCTACAGATCCTCTATATTTAACAACTTGGCGTTGGCTGTTTACCGAACTACTGTTATACTCCGACCTTTCCGGCTGATAAACATGAAAACAGTAATAGTGGCTTGTGCGCTGTATAGTGCAATCTGGGTCGCAATTGCAGGGATTGACATTTATTTGTCGTTTGAGACAGCAGGAGGAAGACCAGGACAAGGATTTGGTTACCAGACATACATTAAGGCCACCACCATGGGCAAGGACATTGAAGACTTGTTCGACTCGGACGAGTGTTACACCAAACTGGGGATAACACCATTCAGCATGAACCGCTTCAACTTCAAATCAGAAATCGCCCTGTGCGACTCAAACTTATACTCAGTGCTAGAATCCACCCTCCGAGCGCTGTTCACGGTGGTGCCCTTCTTGGTGCCGGTTCTGGTGATCACCATGACCTGTGTGGTTCAGGTGATTGTTCTCTACAAACCCAGGAGTTGTCCGACCAGCACAGAACAGAGACATGCCACTATCACCGTGTTCCTGATGTCGGTCCTGTTCGTGGTCTGTAACTCCGCGTATGCTATCTACACCCTTCTTCTTAAATTCAAGGTCATATTTGATCCCCAGATACTGACAATGGCCGTGTTGGGGACAGTGTTGCCCATACTGAATGCAGCACTGAATCCTGTTATAATCATCTCCAGGTGTAGCGGACTGAGGGGCAAGTTTGTGGAGAAGCTGTCGATGAGAGAGAGGATGTCGGTTAGAGAGAACACTATAGCACTCAGAAAAATATGAGGAATTGGGAGGTAAAACGATTGGACAAGATACATTATGTGCCAAGTCGTGTAACTCAAATATTTTGAGGATTGATTTTAGGCCCGAGTTTTGTTTGTGTCTGTAAGAGAAATTTGAAGGGACGAGAAGAAAATCAGAAAAAATATATATCTATATGACTGTAAGCATATTGATTATGATAGATTGATCATTAATGATTTATTGTTTGGTTGATAATATATTGATTAATATTACCTCTCATAGGGGTATATTATAAGGTTAAATTTATCATTATATTACATGTTTTTACCTCACGGACAAAAATTGGGCGGTTTTTAGTGACAATTGTGAATTGCGATTCAATTCCAGCGACCTAGTTTTTTATTTCATATATTTATTACAATCGTATCGATGAGAGCAAGTTTTTCCTTCCACATTTTTGTCCATGGGATGCTTTTTCGTGAGTCATATTTACAATTTTTTAATTCAGTCCCAAGCTTGGACTGGAAAACACGAAAAAAAGGTAAATGTTTTAATCGTTTAAAACTATTTTGTATGATCAGTATATTAATGTCTAATTCATTATCATTAGCTGAATAATATGTCTTTCTTCGATAAGTAATGGTGACAACTGACAGTGGTATAGTTCGAAATAAAAATTGTTTTCACTATCTGTTGCTAATCGGCAGTATAGTAACCATAATTTTATTCCATGGTTTGTACGCTAAGGTTTAGTTGAGATTGAGGGTTTTGAGTAAGGTTAGATAATGACTAATGATGGTTAAAGTTTTAGGTACAAGAGATTAAGACACGTCTAAACCCAATCTGACTAAGTTATTATTTAAAAATGTAAGTTACAAACCTCCGCTCGATTGTTCTTTAGAAGTCTGAGAACTTTAGCCCGATAGTAGTATTTCTCCGAGAGTACAGCACATAACGTGTCAACCTGCAAACAAACATTACATTATATGGATTCAGCTGACTACGATGGTATTAAGTAAAAAGCTGATAAGCTTAAACAGAGCATTACATCATGATTCTATTTTTAGTTTCATGGAACATCAAATTTCCAGAATTAAACCATTGATTGACAATGCCAATTTCATTCCCAATGAAACGACAGGAATATTCTCTGTTTTTTTCCTCAGCAACCTCAAATTTGGCGCGAAAAAGCTAACCTGGACGGAGGTTAAGGGAGTTCCAGCATCGTTCACATATATCGTCAATTCATCCTCCATATCTGTCAAGATGTTGTCATTATCCCCATCAATGTTCCTCATACAGATGTTCTTGGGGCTCTGAACGTGAGTAATGTACATGTAGACAAGGTCTCCGATCTCTGGCAGCTCCACGTCGTCAGGTTCAACCTGTGCGGGACTGTACGAGGGCTCCTCTTCTTCGGAACTCATTGATTCTTCGTCGCTGGAATCTTCCACTCTGGGGGAGAGACAAAGGGGGTAATGGGTTTTTCGGGTAAAATCAAGTTGGAGCTCGTTTTTAGAGATAGGTTGCAAAACACACCATTTTTGGAGCAACACTTACTTAGAGATGTAGTTCTGATGTTATTAAACACAGATAATACTAATTATAAATTGAACTATTTCCGTTGTCCTGGAGACTTAATGAACTCTGTATTTGACGGTAAAACTGTGTTAAAATGGGTATTTCTTTATCTTACTTGTAGGAGACAGCCATCTCAGACTTGAGAGTTGGGATTTCCGACAGATCCGGCTGTTTGGGGATGCAAATGTCGTATATTGAGGTGTTTGGGATCGCAACTCCGGATTCAACCTGAAACAAATGTCGTATATTGAGGTGTTTGGGATAGCAACTCCGGATTCAACCTGAAACAAATGTCGTATATTGAGGTGTTTGGGATAGCAACTCCGGATTCAACCTGAAACAAATGTCGTATATTGAGGTGTTTGGGATAGCAACTCCGGATTCAACCTGAAACAAATGTCGTATATTGAGGTGTTTGGGATAGCAACTCCGGATTCAACCTGAAACAAATGTCGTATATTGAGGTGTTTGGGATAGCAACTCCGGATTCAACCTGAAACAAATGTCGTATATTGAGGTGTTTGGGATAGCAACTCCGGATTCAACCTGAAACATTACGATAATACAAACCATAAACTTTAAGAGAATGTAACCAGACACTTTGATTCGGGTGTTGCTAATAACAGGTAAGCATAGTTACTATTTAGAATGAGTTATATTACGGCAATGACACTAAAAGTTGCCAAACTTAATTCTGTTTTAAGTATAATTTCAGTTTGATATAGCGTATCATTGCATCTACTTCTACTGTATGTACTTCTCATCAAATATATCATATTCGCACAAAACATACCAGAGATTTGTTGTAAGCTTCGTCTGTGTCTTTGTTTTCCAAAATAACTTCGATCCAATGAGCTGAAATGGTAGTATTTAAATAATTTAATTAATTTGGAATTGAAATAATATAACAAGAAACATTGGCGAGCCAGGGACATGCCGGATGTTTTACGGTAAACAGCAGTCTGAATCAATTAAGTTAATTAATTGATTCAGACGAAAAAAAGAGGTCTTCAATATTTCGTTCGGGTTCATGTTCATTTGGACCAATACCTTACGAGACATAATTATGTTCGTCATAATTTCGGTGACCTAAATGATTTGGGAACGAAAATATGGGAATCTTTTCCGAAAACCGCCAAACTTTGTACCCCAAATTAAATCATGGTATAATGGGGGATTTTTTCCATCTCCTTATTTTACAAAATCGAAACACAATATTTGAGAACATTAAATGCAAAGATCTTCCCTGATCAGCTGTTTCATCTTGTAAACAATTTCTCCGGAGCCTTTGGAAATTGACCTCAACTTAACTTCTAATCATAATCTAAGTCATAATAAAGGAAAATACGCAAAAATAATTATGGTGACCTAAATTTTGGTAGTCTGAAAATATGGTGTTTTTTTTCGAAGAACCACAGACTTGTCTCGTAAGGTATATTAGGACGCAATGAAACTACCGGACCACGATGTATGGGGACTTGCCACCCCATGGCAACATTAAAATATATCGACTCTGTTACATCGTTTCCTCAATTAATATAATAATAAATGTAATAGATTTGTAGTGTTGTAATTAGTTTAAAACTGCAATAAATATGAATTTATTGCAATATTTTGAAAACGCTTAAAATGCCATTTAGAAGTGTCAACTCTCCTGGCATTTGTTTAAAACGCACGTCAATAATCAATAATATATCAAATTAAAAAATGACGTTGGCATCGCTTAGCATCCAACATGAGTGAAATTTTATGGAACCCTTCAACCCTCGTCTGGAAATATATTGAGGGGCCGGGGGGGGGGGGGGGGGGGAGGAGGACCCCATTGCCTATTTTTGGTCACATGGACATCGGCTTTAACTTGAATTACGCGGTTCCGGGGCCCGGCCGGATTTTTTACCAAATCCCGGTCCCAGCAAAAGTACCAATTTTACCGGGATTTTAGATACAACTTCTATCAAGATTTTGAAAACAACTTGCAGCGTGACGGGGGAAAATTTCTAGTAGAAAATAGAAATCATATCATCTATAATATGAAACTCAACAAATTTGTTATCACTTCCGCACTAATAGTTGATTCCGCTAAATTTTGTGTCCAAATAGATCCCGGTCCCGGTCAAAATTGACTGATCCCGGCCAATTTCAAATTGGATAAATGATCCCGGTCCCGGTCATTTCAAAATTCTTATCCTGGTTGTTTGCTGTTGAATTATGATGAACATTAACATCGTGTTCGCCGTCCTCTTATTAGTAAGTATAGCTACATTTCAGCTCAATAGAGCATCATATATACGTATTAGCATTATTATATCGGTAATCGGAAATGTTTATTTTTCGAACAAAGATAAGGTCCCCCCCCCCCCCCCCCCCCCCCCCCCCCCCCCATATATTTCCAGACAAGGGCTCCATATAATTCACTCTTCTCGGATGCTGAGCGATGCTGACGTCATTTCTTACATTGTTAATTTGATATAAAATACCGTAGAGCTTAGAAGATTAACAGGTTATTTAGTTATTAGCAATGAAACATCCGACATGAGTGAAATTCTATGGAATTCTAGTCTGGAACTAATAATAACTTATTACAACGTACATAAAACTGTCAATAAGATGATAAAAGCTAATTTCGACTGACGCAATACAGTCTATACTAGTCATTTATGGACGTGTACCTGCAAAATTCTAGATATTCACGAAACTTTGCACATACCTTCCCAACGGTATGAATAAACGATTTCCGAGTGAAGACATTTTTACCGTCGGGAAACCCCAGGAGGGCCACGCCCATGTTGACCCGATGATGCAACTGACACTTTGCTCCTGAAGGTCGTAGAGACTTCAAAATGGGCAACAGCCAATACTTCGATGTCCCCATGTTCCAAAAATCTGGATACTCAGGAGGATTATTGGGACAAAATGGAACATTCTGGAACATTGGTTACATCGGTTCTAGACATGCAGTGATTCCCAAACTTGGTTGTAGTGGTCCTATGACGAATATTAACTCGTTGCGACCAATTTTGAACCATTCGCAGCACTTTGAGGAGAATGTTCATTTTCGTTCATTTCCGTTCATTCCATGAACCTGGGTAATGTTATGCTACTTTCGATGGCTCTAGCCTAGCTTGCAACTATATCCATCGTTTACAATTATTTTTGGCACCATTCAAGGGCTTATTAGGGCAAATAAATGCATGTCCCATTTTTGTCCCCATGTTCCGGAAATGTTCCAAAAATCCGGATTCATCAATTCTCGCGTAGAATGCAAAAGAACCGCAATTGGCACATTTATATACGACTTACGAAGAAACATATCCCTTGAAGTGCCAACTTTTTCGGTTATTGGCGAAAACTGATTTTCGGTACCAGAAATCAAATTAGTGCAAATTGTGCAGAATGGACATGTTTATGTACAACTGATGAAGCAACATGTACCCTCAAATGCTTACTTTTCAAGTTATTAAAAACCAGAGAAAATTTGCACAAAATAGAGCAAACTTGGTTAAATTAGCCATTTTTGCTTCCAGTTCTATGTCCATAAATGACTGTAGTAATATACATATTATATAAAATGTATTACAAATTCACTTGACATGGCAGGATGGCCGAGCGGTCTAAGGCGCTGGTTTTAGGCACCAGTTCGAAAGAGCGTGGGTTCGAATCCCACTTCTGTCAACAATAATTTTTTAGAAAATCCAGCTCGTTTGGAGATACGAGAATTAAAACTCCATATATCCTTATGTTTGACGATAGGCCACTGAGGTGGCATATTAGTAAATTGAACTTCAAAAAGATAAACCTATTGTAGGGGGCCACTTATTAAAACTGTGAAAGATTTCATGAAACTGAATACCCAACCAAAAGGTCTTAGCGAACTCAAATGATATATGGTACTACACGAACTTTAGCGTCTAAGGTAGCTGAACATCTTTCACAATCGCCTTAACTGGTTAAGTCCCGAAGATAATGGACATCAACTTGACAGCCAAACCATAATTTTAGACTGCCCTTGTCTTTCTGACCGTGTGCTATCCGGTCCCGCGCAGCTGAAAAGCTTCATCAACTCCGCGCGCGGGTAAATGCGCGGGCCATATCAAACGGATTGGGCTTCGCGCGTTCCTTAAAAGACAACCTTTGTGGACCCATATTCGATTGCCGAATGAGGTGACAAGGTAGCCAAGTTTCAGGGTTGCTAATAATAGTCGTAAAAATATATTGCGATAGTTCACAACTGCTTCAAAAGGATGACAATCGACTATTACTCCTTTTGCAAAGATTTGTCGGACAAACAAGAACCATGAATCTAACAGCGAGGTCCTATCAAACTGTTTATGTACGGTGAAATGAATATACCCGTACGTGTGCGACCCGCGACATGCATAATCATAAATACAGGTGGATTATTAACGTTATTACACCACACCATGGAACTTTTCTAAAGGTGTGTACCATTTTCTATTCAATTTGACCATCATTTGTTTCACCACTACGAAAGGTAACTTCAGATGGTTGCGGACATTATATAATTTTAAAGAGGTGATCACACTGCAAGTGTATACTCAGAGTAAAGTAATTTACTCTACAGATATCAGTCACACTTGACACATCATCTTGGAATATTCATCTCTACAGACTACACATCAAATACAGAACGGCGTGATTATGCCAGCCAAAATGGAATCTTTGCTGGCAGAATCATAGATTTGACATAATTCTAATACAGTTCTTCTGTGTGAAGCTTTGTACCAAATAAAAATATAACTCTTTTTCTGAAGCTTCATAATTCTATATCAAGAAAAGGTATAAAATGGTACCTGGTATATCTTTAGAATCAAGAAGTGTAATATCCCAGTCTCTAATGACGAGTTGAGCTGCACTAGCTTCAGCGTCGTTCTTCTTGTTTTGATAAAAGCCTTGGTATGTTTTGTAGCCTTTCGTAGGATGCTTTATCGTACAACTGAAATAAAAAATTATTTAAATAAATGTTTAATAAAATGAATATTTCTACCGTATTAATAATGTGGAGTTTATTCAACCTATTGGTTATTACGGCTGAACGAAATATAGTAGATAAACTCAGGTAAAGATAAGACTGCTGGTGAAAATAAGAATGTGAAGAATAATAATGTAAAGATAAGAATGTGTAAATATAACAATAATAATGTAAAGAATGCTGACAGTAAAAGTACCTTGTTCTCCACCCACAGTCACTGTTCAGAGGTTTGGTGAATGTTGCGAACTCGTGCTTCCTCTTTTGACACCATTCCTGCCAGTCAAACGTACGTTAGCTTATCTTACACACAATATTCGTGACAGTCAAGTAATATCTCTAAATATTTTCTTCAGCAGAAATCTCAGAATGTTAAAAAATGAATGTTAATGTACCGGTAATCATCAAAATGTAATATACATAATCACTGAAACCATGAAACATAATGAGTACATTTACCAACACTAAACATTATAGAGGATCACTATATCTGAGATTATCTCATGATAAAACAAGAGATAAGCAAAATAAACAAATAGCGTCCCCAAGAGACACTTACATTGAGTCTTGATTTGAAACCGTAGTGAGCCTTCTCGCTTTTAACAGCCTCAACAGTCATCTGGAGCGACTCACAGTCTCTGTTCTCTGTTATGTTCTTGAACACGTCACAAATCTCCTTACTCCACTCCTCCTAGTTAATTGGGTAATTAGTTAATTAGTTAACATCGATCAGTTAATTAAAAACTGAGCTTAAATAAAATTATCCACAATCCAAAATATAGGTCCTTCATTTCTTATCTCTTGACTCTTTACTTATCTATTACTTACTTAACTCTTATCTATCTATTATTTCCGTGTCATCGGTATTTACTTTAATTCAGTGTGTCCCGTTAAATAATATATAAACGGTCACTCAACAAACACTCTTACATTTTACTTGATTATTTTTTTAAACAAAGAAAATGTGTGCCAGTTATGTGATAAGATATCAATATATACACCATATCCAATTACCATATCCAATTACATTGTGATATGAATTGTTAATTAAGACAAGCTGGTTAGCAATAGGAAGCCTCGTCAGGCAAAGCCATTAGTCTGTATCGTGCAATAAGGATTTAAGCTGATTGGTCACCCAATTAAGCTGATTGGGTGCCTGTTAACTGCGTGTTAACTAGGTTCAATTGGGTTCAGTTGTCGGTCACCCTGTCGATGTTTATTTAGACTCACTGATAGGATTTCATTAGAATGTTTGGAATTAAATAAACAACCACAAGCTCCACATTTCAAAAGGTTCAACGATCTGTAAACATGTACCACCTATACATGCTATAGTTACACTCAGAAATGATGTCTAAGGATGATTCTAGCTACGGACGGGTCATCAAATACACTAGCTAGGTAGTTGAAATACAAGTCTGTAGAAAAGTTGGTAAGAAAGTTCAGAACGGTTAAGTGCTGCTCAAGGTTCACATTTCAGCAGTAACTAAAACTACAAAGTAACCGAGAACTAACCTCCAATTTTATTAAAGTTTGTTTTTAAGACCACACTCGAAGTTATTATAATACTCCTTTTTCAAGTTACAATCAACTAATAACTGCCATATAAGCTATAAGTTGCTGTATTTTGTTTCAATTAAAAACCATTCAACAAGAGACAGGGGCAGAATGTTTTCTTGTTAAAACGATGTCACTACAATCTCATATGACAGCACTTCAGCTCGTTAATTATAATGTCTCAAGGGAATCAGTTTACCGTTACGGTTGAACAATACAACACGCACTTCGAGATGGCAGGGCCTACTCTCATGCTGTCTATATGTGATGACTAGCTCTGAAAAACTGGGGACAACTGGGGAATGATCCCAGAACCTCGACATATCGCGTGTCTTGCTCTACCTATTGAGCTACTGTCCCTGATTCTCAGAGCGAAATCACCACTCATATACAGCACAATTTCATGCTTTGTGTGGAGTAATGTAAATAGTGTGGATAAATGCGAATATATAATCTAATAACAATGCAACACGCACTTCAACAGGTTACACAACTTTAAATTAATCCTCACAAACAAACCTTGGGTGTAATACTGCCGAGACTGCATCTTCAACAGGTTACACAACTTAATCCAAACAAACAAACCTTGGGTGTAATACTGCCGAGACTGCATCTTCAACAGATTACACAACTTAATCCAAACAAACAAACCTTGGGTGTAATACTGCCGAGACTGCATCTTCAACAGGTTACACAACTTAATCCTAACAAACGAACCTTGGGTGTAATACTGCCGAGACTGCATCTTCAACAGGTTACACAACTTAATCCTAACAAACGAACCTTGGGTGTAATACTGCCGAGACTGCATCTTCAACAGGTTACACAACTTAATCCTAACAAACGAACCTTGGGTGTAATACTGCCGAGACTGCATCTTCAACAGGTTACACAACTTAATCCTAACAAACGAACCTTGGGTGTAATACTGCCGAGACTGCATCTGAAAGCCTGGCCGTTAGGATACGGGAACTTCTTCCTGCGGATCCTATCTAACGTCACCCACTCAATGTTACCGTAATCAACAAAGAACAGCTTCACTTTCCAGGCGTCCCTCCATTTGAACTGGGGTGTTGGGCTGTTCGGCAGGAACAGAGCTCTGTAATGAGGACAATTGTAAGGTTTTAGAGAATATTAGCAATATATAATGATGGAGTATATTGTTATATATAGTTCAATATATTGACCGAGATATTAGCCCTATTGAAATTGGAGTAAGTTGGAACCACCAGTGAACAGGATGATCTTTAGTATGTTACCTCCAGCTAAGGTATGATAAGTAATTTAAACCCTGTTTAATGAAACCTGGAAATATGCTAGGAATGTAGTGTACTTAATAAGAGTCAGATTACAGAAAAGCATGGGGCTCCAATCAAAATAATCCAGTAAAATACAACGAGTAATAAATAATCCACTCTGGGTAACACAGTAACAGAGTAACAGAGTAACAGAGTAACAGAGTAACAGAGTAACAGAGTAACAGAGTAACAGAGTAACAGAGTAACACAGTAACACAGTAACACAGTAACAACAGAGTAACAGAGTAACAGAGTAACAGAGTAACAGAGTAACAGAGTAACAGAGTAACAGAGTAACAGAGTAACGGAGTAACAACAGAGTAACATAGTAACAGAGTAACACAGTAACACAGTAACACAGTAACAGAGTAACAGAGTAACAGAGTAACAGAGTAACAGAGTAACAGAGTAACACAGTGACACAGTAACATAGTAACACAGTAATAGAGTAACAGAGTAACAGAGTAACAGAGTAACAGAGTAACAGAGTAACAGAGTAACAGAGTAACACAGTAACGGAGTGACGTACGGGTCGAGGGTATCCAGACAGCTGTCATGACTGGTCCCCACATCCAGTACAATAGCTCTGTACCACTGCTGATCCTCCTCAAACAGTCCACATACCAGCTCGTTCACGTAGAAGCGACCGTGTTGTTCCGGGGGAGCTGCCTGACAACGGAAATACACATTTAACAGGGGGGGGAGGGGCAATAATGGGGTTAGCTCATCAAAATACTCCAGTAAAATACAATGAGTAATAAAAACTCCACTCTAGGTAACAGAGTAACAATATACCAGAGTAACACCAGTAAACACAGTAACAGAGTAACAGAGTTAACAGAGTACGACAGAGTAAACAGAGTAACAGAGTAAACACAGTAACAGAGTAACAGAGTAACAGAGTAACAGAGTAACAGAGTAACAGAGTAACACAGTAACTAAACAGAGTATCAGAGTAACAGAGTAACAGAGTAACGGGAGTAACAACAAGTAACATAGACACAGAGTAACACAGTAACACAGGTAACTCAGTAACAGAGTAACAGAGTAACAGAGTAACATAGTTAACAGAGTAAACAGAGTAAACACTGTGACACAGTAACATAGTAACACAGTAAAAGAGTAACAGAGTAACAGAGTAACAGAGTAACAGAGTAACAGAGTAACAGAGTAACTGAGTAACACAGTAACGGAGGACGTACGGAGTCGAGTGTATCCATACAGCTTGTACCATGACAGGTCACCCACATCCATAAAATACTCTGTACCACTGTTGAACCACCTCTAACAGTCCCATAACCCATCTCGTTCACGTAGAATTCGACCGTGTGTTCCGGGGGAGCTGCCTGACAACGGAAATACACATTTAAGGGGAGGGGCAATAATGGGGTTAGCTCCTGAACATAATCATGATCGAATATTAATAATGAGCTTTTTTTTTTTCTTTCTTAAAGGTGCAAAATATTGAGTTTTACTTTTACACCAAAAATATAATATGTGTAGAAAAATTAAATAGAAGTTCTTTGGGGAACAAAATACAACATTCTTAGTTCAGATAATTGGAAGCTTACCTCGCAAGTGGTTTGCATAAGTTCGGTGATTTTGACCAGATCGTTGAGTTGTGGGCTCTTAATCTGTACCCAGAAATAAGAGGGGGAGTGAGCCAGGGTCACATAACAATCTGCTCTGACTCCCAGCCAGGGTAGTGGTGCATGCACCATACCGGTCTGTGGGGGAATGTCGGATATAAGTATATATAATGCTTTTGGACACGAAGGGAAACACATAACGTAAGGCTTGAAATGCCGTTTTGTGTGAACACTGAACACATCATTTATCATTACCTGGATCTAAGTTTATTAACATTATATGTGGTGATTTATGCGATCCATATTTTATTTCTACTTTTGTTTTGTCAAATGCTGGAATATATGTATAATCAAATATGTTGACACTTGACTCAAGAGTCAAGACAGGATTTACTCTGACTCCACAATGTTCAGGATACTTGATGTTTGGTCTGCCCGGAGATGTGCCATTAGTAGCAACAGTTGTGACAGAGACTGGAAGCAGGGTTTCTGGATCGTCCTCAATCCCGTAAAGTATTAACTTGTTGCTGTTCTGACCGTAGGGTCGCTCTATTCGCAGCACACTCCCTTCCATCTGTAGGACTAGTTCTAGAAGGTTCGGCTCAGCCGGCTCCTTGAAGAATGTTTCGTACTCCGAGACCAATTTTCCTGGAATTTCGTTTTTAGTTGCAACACAACCATGTACAGATTCACTCTGCTATATGCACTCCAGGTTAGAAAGAGGTTGATAACACTTTGCACACAATTGTATGTAGGTAGTGTAGTTATACCGGTGAAAAAACCAATTTGAATTATACATTTAACCTCCACAATAACGCATATAATAAATCCATTATTTTGTAGTTGGTACGTCAGCATGTCCCCCAAGCCACCGTACCGCACAGCATGAGTAGGGATCAGTGTATCCATTGCATCCAGGCGCCAATAAGCACACCTACCATACCAAGCCCCAGTTGAACTCGGACATGAGGCTCCTTATTTTACCACACAGCACCGTCAGCGATGCACAGCCCGACTCACAGCTAGCTGACAGGGTTGGGTACCTGGACTGCCTGTTACCACAGCGCTCTGAGAAGTTATACTCTGTTTGTAACCTGAGGTAGTTTTCCAAATCAATCAAAAAGAACAAATGAAATATTCCAGAAAAATAAGCAGTTCTCTTCAGTTTATTTGCGGTGAAAAAATATTTTTAGTACTCAAATTCTATATTTTATCTAAGAATCGCTCAAAACTCTCGACTTATTGCACGTGAAACTGGGAAAACGAACAAAGAAAAACCACCGGAGGACAGTTATTAATATTGTCGGGTAAGTCCCCTAGGTGGAAGAGGTCTAGCCGGCTGAGTAACAGGTCTTGTGATGGGTTTCTGTACTGGTCTAGATACCGGTCTAGATGGGGCAGGTTTAAAGGCAGTTTGTGGAGCAGGTTTAAAAGCAGCGGGTCTACTGTTATAGGCAGGAGTGGGTTTATTATAGACGGGAGCAGGTCTGCTTGTTCTGCTGAACCCTCCTGAGGATACCCAGAGCTGTCAGGGTTATCTGCCCACACGACCTCCATTCTGGGGTAAAATAACAGTATTAATATGTGGGTCAACATCGTGGTAAAATAACAATATGATACATTATCACAATATAAAAATAACATCGTGGGTTATCGCTCGATGAAATTATAACTTCTGTCCAGCAAACGACCGCAAAGGTACCGGGATCACGGTCGATCTCTGCTTCTGTCTAGTCTATAATATGCATTAACCAACCACGTCTCATGCATAGCAGTAGAATATACTATTTCAAAGAACACAGCAGAAAAATAAACTCACAGAGCTAAAGAACATTTTCTTGGCTCCAGCGGGTCTCCTGTTCTTCTTACTTTTGCCCTTCTCCTTGCTCTTCATCATTGCAATGTGGGCTATCTTCTCATTTGCTACCACATAGAACACAATCTGACCCTGCACAATTCTATAGTTACAAGCTTTACAAGCTCTACAAGCTTTACAAGCTCTACAAGCTTTACAAGCTCTACAAGCTTTACAAGCTCTACAAGCTTTACAAGCTTTACAAGCTTTACAAGCTTTAAATAGTTTGACTTCGTGGCCTTTAAAGGATTAGATTACAATTCTAGTTCTGTCAAATTCAAAATATTTATAACAGCACTGATGGTGCAATGAACCTATTTTTAAGATATAAAGGGTTGGCCCAAAGTATCTGTCCACACGCAACCCTTTAAAAACTCACGCAATTCCGTTAGAAATGCACACACATTTTCGAGATGTAACCTTCTATAATGTTTTTATAATCGTGCCGATGGTAAGTGGTTTAATTGATGTTTTGTACCACAGATATGCAATTACATAATTAGGATTATTTGGCAGTGGATCATCCGCAAGATTACCTCTATGAAATACTATAAGCCATATTAGGGGGCACTCAGAATGAAATTGGTTGTCTGTTATGGAATAAGTGAGTCCATACTTTTGCACCAAATTAACGACACTGTAATGCTATTTTCGTAAGAATAGGCGGGTTTTATACTTTTGTTAACTTGACAGCCCAAGGTAAGATTAAAAATACTAAATCACAAGTGCAGCTTTCTATATGATCTGAATTTTATTCAAGATTAGAACCACAAATACAAAATGAGAAGCTTAAGATTAAAATAAAAAAGATAAATCACGTACCTGGGCATTTCTCTCTGCTTTGATAACGTCAGGCATCAATCTTGCTAAGTCATTGATGGACTTAACACCCATGGCCTTCAAAGGGAGTACCTGAAAACATCAGCCATTCAGTCGAAGAAACATATTGATGAATTAATAAAACGCTTGACAGTGAACATCAAAATTAACCTACAAAACTTATAGGCTAAAGAGTTCAATACATTGCCCTAGTATCTACTCACGGATCCTGTAGTGTCCTCGTACTCCTTGGGGAACTTCGTTGCCAGGACCCCGTAACTGGCTGTCATAAGGACACTCCGAATCATGGCTTTTATGTGATCCACGTCTGCCATGATCGGACTTGTAACTTACTGTTGTTACCGATAAAAACTTTATTCTGTATTGACTGGAGCTATAGAGAGAAGCTGATGTCAGGTTTATCGGGTAAATAGATCACAAAACAGGTTAAATGAATAGGTAGAAAATAATAGTTATTGATATGACAACTGAGGTTAGAGGAAATGACTTTAATTTGAAAGGATATGGAGTTTTCTAGATTTTAAGAAGGTATCATAAACTAAGACTTCAAACTTGCAAACAATTATCCGACACGTGGTGACTATTTGCTCATGTAACCAATGCACATGATGATATTTAAGTAAGGGAAAGATGGAGAACGTTGACCAATACTCATTTTAAACAAGTATGGAGACACAAGTTGGCCAGATCAGTCCCGAAACTTGGCAAAGAGAGCACACGAACAGCAACACAATTCCTTACTAGACATTGTGAACTAAACTAGGTCATATTAATAGGTGCAAGCCGACAACGGTCCCTAAAACTTGTCAACACTGTCTCATGGAAGAGGAGACAATGAACCACTTTATTGGTCAGTGCCGAAGTGGTCTTTCCACCGAGGAGGATACTTTGACTCCTTCTACCTTAATATGACAGACACAGTGGAAAATTTCTCACTACCAAGGATCATCAGCTTCATACATGCAACAATATGATTCACTAAATGTGGAGAAAACAAAGTTTAACTTTTTTCTCCATTAAGAAATATTTTACCGGGGTAAGCACAGGGCTCCAATGCTCTATATTACACTTTACAGTGGTCATGATCTATCCTGTAGTGATAATGACCACATCCCCCTACGAAGAAGAAGATATTCCAGTAACTACACAGTTGATGTAAATACATTAATATAAACTGTTGTAACCTTTAAGTATCAAGAAATATAAATTGGGTATAAATTTAAAAACACTACTTTGTAAAAATTATAAAAATCCTCTGTTAAAAACTGCTAAAAATGTTTAAAAGTTTAAAATAAATTGTTCAATTTGATGTTAGTAAGCTACAGTAAAAAATAAGTCAAACGCTGTAAATTAAAAACATATTCAACTTTGATTAATTCAGATTAATTTCAAATTCTTTTTCTTCAATATTTAATTCTATTCAAAATACTAAATTACATTAGAATTCTATTATTAATATAAAATTGATTTATTTTGTTCATTACAGATTAGTTGTTATTAATTTAACATGGCCATCTTTCTGAACTTCCATCAAATATCTTTGGTTTCTTTGTTGATATCTGGAAGTGGTACTTTTCTCTGTCATTCTCGATGACAAGGATTTTTCCATTGGCTGGTAGCTTGTCCCTGCGATCTACTAGAATATTATCATTTTCTTCTGAAACATCAATGCCACAATTGTTCTCTATTTCTTCAATCTTCTCATTCATAGCTTCAACAACTTCTTCTTTGGTTTGGTAAGGACCAAGAGATTCATCAGAGAACATGATACGAGTACCATGGGAGGTTGTGTATGATTTCACCCAAAACTCTTTCTTCTTTACGATTTTCTTTACTGGAACTTTCCGGACTCGTTTATTTGACTTTTCAGCAGAAACTTTCTCACCAGATGCCTCTTTCCTTTTTACAGCGATAGCCTTTTCCCCTGATTTCTTTTGTTTAGCAGGTGCTTTTTCCATCTTGTTGACACCTATAATTTATCAGTTACATTATTTATTGGCAGTAGACTTTAAAGTAAACTATGCAATTATATAGACTAGATTGGTGATCAATCTGGAGGTATACTGAAAATTCCACCCTTAAAATATATAGTGATATGACGGACTAAGGATCTATAATATGTGAACCATGTTTGTTTTGACATGGGAACAGATCGCTGTTACAAAACTTGAAGTTGACATGTCCATCTACAAATAACATTTAGAGTCCCCACTGGGAACTTCCCAAATTACAGGTTTAAGGTTACATTTCTGTCATGCATCAACAAGAAATAATTGAAAACATTCAAGAAGAGAACCGAACAACTTATACAAATGTTACACGATTGCTTACAACTCAGGCTTGGCGATATTAAAATAAGCAACGATCGTGTTCTTTACTTTTAGAAAAACTAGTATTAGCGCTCGATTTGTCGCAAATATTTTAGAAGTGTGCAAACATCTCGAGAATTGCGCGGCGTTTTTTTCATGCACAGTGTACGATATTTTTATCATACGTTGCAGACCTGCCGCGCACGTGTGCACTGTATTTAATATAATTGCTTTGGTAGATCGGCGAGATGCACCACTGGATCATGCAGTAGTGGGCCTTGCCGAGCTGCGAAGGATCAGGATTGACATCGTGAATCCACTAATTTAATAAAGCCATAATATAATGAGATCAAATTGGATATGCTTAAACTTTTTCGAAAGGTTTCCCTGGCCCTTATTTAACTGTTCAAATAAAATGTTATTAAAGCTTTTGTAACAAAATTGTTAAAATTGGACTAGGACAATGTTGTCATACGTTGTATGACCCGCCGCGCACGAAGTGCGCGGCTCCCCCTGTAGCGTCGAAGACGCTGCGCTACACTATAGTGAAGCGACCGTGGGGGTCACCACGTGATACAAGGACAATGGACATTAACAATGGACAAAAATAAAAAATTAATGCTAAAATTACCATCATATACAATATAGTCATGGGTCAGTTTTCTATAATAACGGGTGATACTTTTACATAGCCATGTGTATACGCGTACTGCGTGACGCGACGCGCTTGTTTCACAAGCGTGCCGCCTTCGGCGGTCGCGCGCTACTGCAAGCGAAAGGGCTCCAGTTAGAGCAAGGTGATATACTTGTAAAATATTTGTTTCAAATTAGGACCGTCGACGAGTCCAACTCGGCGCCCGTCCTGGTAGGTTAAAGACCTTAAAAGTTTGCTCGACTTATTGTCAATTGTTGACTATTGTTAATGATCTGGCCCGGCGCGTGCTACTTCGTAGCACTTCGAGTTGCTACACGTTGTATACCTCTAGTCTCGTGCACGCCGGCGCGCGATCAAAAGCGGTTGCAGCGTGTGTCAAACTTCGAGCACTTCCGAGAAGAAAGCGGCGCGCGCTACTTCGAAGAAATTTAGACGAGTAACCTGTAACATCCGTCAATGTCAATTGTCAATCTTACCTGTTACAATTACCTAGCTTACTCATGAAACAATTCAACCAATCAGAGTACAGCTAAATCTGCAAAGTTCAATTTGCAAACTTTTGATCGGCCCAAAATGACACTTTTCTGGAAATTTTATAAGATATTACTCAAAATCTCGAGCGTGCTAAATCACTTTACACACTATATACAGTCGATCTTTAAGATTGTTCTAAAAGGGCCTCCGACAGTTGTGAGTTGAAACCAACTTCAATCGATGTATTTTGGATGATGATTAATCACTTAAAACTCGTGACTTTTTCAACCCGTTCGTGACTTTTTCAACCCGTTCTCTAGCTGGTCCTGAACGACTATTATATTCGAAACCCTAGTAACCCTCTAATCTTATCCCAACCTTAACCCTAACCCAATCCTTTGCTCTAACCGGAGCCCTCTCGCTAGCAGTAGCGCGCGACCGCCGAAGTCGGCACGGGAAACAAGCGCCGCGCGTCACGCAGAACGCGTATACGTACACATGGCTATGTGAACCCAAACGCTCCTACTAAATAACTAAATCGCTCGCCCAAATTTTAAGAAAATTCTTGTGAAAAGGCCCTTTAGGCATGAAAGTGATTTTGGACGCTGATTCCGAATCACCCCCCATGACGTAGGGTTAAAATGCTTCCCTGGAGAGTTATGGGCAAAAAACCGTTTTGGTCACGTGACAGGCTGGTAAAACGTGAATTCGATTATTTAGGGCTCGGGTTAGGGTTGTGGTTAAGATTATGGATACTCATACAGGATAGCTTCGGGGTTATGGTAAGGGTTGGGATTAGGGTTTATGTAAAACCGTTTTGTAAGGCTGCAAAACCAAAAAACCAAAGTCATGTGAAATTTTTGGGCGAGCGATTTAGTAAGAGCCGAACCCAAAAGCATATGCTGAAACACTAACCCTAACGACAGACGAGACATTTAATTAGACTAACTTCCTTATACGGTCATATCACGTGATTGTAGCGCGATGCACTACTGGGTCGCGCGCGCATCAAATAATGCTTCTCGCAACCACAGTAGTGTGCAAACCAACATTCGAACCACCAGCAGCTGGTGGTCAATTTCCTACGAACGCGACTTAATTTTGGTTCAGACTGGAGTCGAGCGCTACGTTATAGCTGTATATATAGCTCGTTTCACGACGAAATCTTCATTTATTGAGTTTGTCTGTCGATTATGTTGGAGTTTGTACTTTTAATTTTGTACTCGAATACTGTTAATTTATTTTTATTAAATAGTTGTTTTTCGTACCAGCACACTAGTACGTGATTCCTTTTGTTATTCTTACATAATTAGGAAGATTTTAAACTTCAATACTATAAATAATCAAATATTTACGAACACCGATCATCGGTATGTACCCATTATGCATTATTGGTATCGAAGTCTTATGTTGAGCTGGATATCGAAAAATTTCAAAATGTAAGGCTGTAATTTTGTACTTGTTTAGGTGTAGAACTAGGATTAACAACTTGATTGCTAGGAGCTAGGAAGAGATTTTAGTAATGATGACCCTTTAAACTTAAACTATATCTCTAGTGCACTTCGATCGGTTTTCTTTTCAATTTTGATAAAACCTAGTCGTGATCTTTGTTTCAGAACTTCACTAATTTATTAAGTTTTGTAGTTTATATAGACGGAACATGAGCAGATACCATTTGATTAATTATAATATATCCGATTTGAAATATTATTCTGTCGGAGTTTGAGTTCTACATGGACACATTTATTAACATCCCGCATGAATTTGTGTCGTCTTTACAATTTTTTGCGCTGAATTTGTATGCTTATTAATACTGCCGCATGATATCAGTAGCTGCTATAAAACTAGAGTGTATAGCATGTGTATTATACGATGTTTCCCACGTAAAAATCGCAGGTTGTTTTGGTGCGGCTGGGCACTCTACTGGTGAT